TTTTAAGGAGTCTGTGTTCCAAATACGGGTTTTTAGATCTTCGGGGGTTTTGCAAATTTTTATTTGTTTGAATTCTTGCTGTATATTTGGTTTAAGGATGATCGTCAATGCTTTAACTGCGGTGCTAAACAGAGTACAAATTGGCTGTTTCATTCAGAACCTGCTAATTACATATGTAAGAACTGTTACCAGAAACAATATAAAATAAAGAAAAGAAATAATAAAAATTTAAGAGAAAAGGAATCAAATAAATAGAAACAATTCAGAAATTGTTAAAGGAAAGTTTTTGAGAAAATATTAAATAAAACAAGTTCATTCTATATTTATATCATTATTCTAACATCATTTTTTAATAAACTCCTTCTCCTTCATATTTTTAAATAATTTTAAAGTTTAAATAAATATTTTAATTGGCAAACTCGGTAAATGTCCAGTTGATGTCCTACCTGTCGGCTTTTCCTTCCTTTTTTGCATTTTTGTATAAGGAGTTATTTCTTTCTTCTTAATAGTTTCAATTAGGGTCTGGGTAGGGTGTGTCGGGGATCGGGGTTTGCCGGAGTAAAGCCTTCGGAGTTCTGGTCTGGGGTTTTTTAATAATCCGTGGGGTCTTACGGTGATCGGGTTGCTATCCTAGTTTTAATAAAATTCCTCCATAATATCAAATAGATAAAATCAAAAAATCCAAAAAACATTCACTAAAAATATTTACAAGAAATGTGGCTTAGTTAAGGTCCCATATGAAGAAAGATTAATTGCCTGTAAACTCGAAAAGTTAATAGATAGAAGAAAGGTTGCTGATCTATCCACCGCCTTTAAAATTATAAAGGGTTTTACATCTCTCAATTCCCAAAAATATTTTAATTTATCAAATAGACCTCTTCGCAGGCCTCTACTTCTTAGGACAAAAAAATTTACAAATAGAAGAAAAAATAATTTTTTTCACAGAGTGGTGAATAACTGGAATAATCTTCCAAATGAGCCATTTAAAATAAATGATCCGAAAAAATTTAGAAATTTCATTAAACAGTATTCTATCGATAAAGTAAAATAATAAAGACATCAAACCCTGGCGTATGTGTTTTTAGAGTGTTTTTTTTCTATTTTCATATATATATTTTTTTAAATTTATTCATGTTTTTATTTGTTGTTGTTTCACATATTTTTTTTTTAAATTTGTATTTTTATTTTTTATGCACCACTTTAATGTATTTTAAAATACCTGTGGTTTGCTGATAAATAAATAAATAAGTTCTACACAATCAAATATGTTCTTCATAAGCTGACTCAAGTTTATCTCCTAATTATTTACCGAAAATATTTAATAAAAATTATTTCCTTGAAATAAATTTTGTTTTCTTTCAATTTTATTATTAAATTTATTTTTTTGCGCCTACGACTTCATGTCACTTAATTTATTTAAAATATTTTTTATTATTTATTAAAAAAATTTTTTTGACAAATTAGATTACCTATAACACTTTTTAAATTTAATTTTTTAAATATTTACATTTTTACATATCATAGGGGCTTATCGTATTTTGTAAACAATTAAGTTTTTATTTAATTATTGCTTTCTTCAATCCGCCTACTTAAATTTTACAACTCTTTTGCTTAATTAAATTTAAAAAATATTATTTAATGCAGAAATTGTTTAACATTAAAAACATTTTCTTCTATAATTAAAAATTATTTCCTTCAAAATAATAAAATTTCCTTCTGTATATTTTTTTAGGAATTTTTAAGAAACTTTCCTTGAATAATAATTGGGGAATTATGCCGATAATACATAGAACCCTCCTATAAGAATAAATTAAGACTGAACCTACCTGAGACTTATCAAAGGTTATCTTTTTTTGAAATATTTTAGATATTTTGTTTAATTTTTTTTCTGTTTTTTTTTAAATAAATTAATTAAAGTAAAAATAAAAAAATGTCAGTTTTCCACACCACAAACTCTTCAATTATTGAAATTAATTTTTTACCTGCATTAATTGGATCTTTACTTGGATTAACTTCTTTTCTTTCTTTTATTGCTAATATAACAGTTTTAATTGTTTTGTTACGTTCAAAACTGTTAAAATCCAATCCTCTATATATTCTTGCTTCTTTAAATTTTTTTAATGATGCATTTCATGGATTTGGATTTTTGGTGTTTTTGGCGCCGACTTCTTTTGCTCAAGTAAAGATTACTTAGATTCTCTTTAGGTTATAATCACTTTTTATGTTCACTTGAGCGTTTATTAAACAATATAGTCCTCCTCTACTTTTGATAACCGGGGATCTTATTTATTTGAAATCGTGGGAGATGCTGACTTGATATTTACCCAAATTGAAATTTAGGAAAGAATATCCTCTCAGAACCTTTTCAAAAAATTTTCTGAATAATATTATGATTAGGGTTGGGGTTTTCGACTCGGCCGACGTTCGAGTCATTTTTTCAGGTTTCATTTTTATCTTTTTCGGGCCAAAACTGATGCCGACTCGATCTTTCGGACCGGGCCGGACTGACCCTTATATTAAATGATCTGGTATAAGCCTAAATTAAATGCATCCCTAATTTAATTTTACTCCCCAATTCCCTAATGTTATCAAGCAGGGTGGCCCTTTTACCCTATTTCTAGAGGATTTTCCCTATTTTTTCCCTATTTTCTCATTTGCCATATTTTTGCCCTATTTTTACAATCTTGTAAAATTTAAAAAATTCTTCGGATTTTGTTTCAAAAATGGTAAAAATGAAGGATTTCTAACTTCCTGGCCTTCCAAAATCTTCTAAATTTTTGCCCGCGGCGCAAAAATGGAAGAAATTTGGCTTCTAGCCTCCCAAAATCCTCAAAATTTTTGCCTGCGGCGCTAAAGATGGGTGAAATGTGGCTTCTTGGCCTTCCAAAATTTTCGTTTTATTTTAAATTTTAATTATTTTTAAGCTTTTAAAGCTATGCCCTAATTTTTGCCCTATTTTTGGCCGATTTCGCCCTATATTTGCCCTATTTTTGAGTGGCTGCGCCCTATTTTAGTGTTTTGGAAGGGGCCACCCTGTTATCAAGAAAAATACAAAATTAAAAAAATTAATTTTAGAGTTATTTCTTCTCAATATTTGAACCATTTCAACCATTTTGGATTGTTTTTATGTTTGTATTTCAATTATCATATTATTCCTCGCTTCTAATCTTAATTTCAATTGCTATAAATCGGTTAATAAACTAAATTTTCTATTTTAAAAATAATTTTAAAGAATGATAGCCGTAGTTTTTCCAAATAAATCACATTTAATTGATGAGAGAGCGGTCAAAATTATTATTTTGTCCATTTATCCGATAGCAATTCTTCTTTCGTTATTTGCCGATTATGTTTTGCCCTGTTGTCGGTTAGTTTTATAATAAATTGTTTTATGGGCAGGGTTGGCGGTTTTAAACCAAATCGAGCAGGAAAACCAAAAAACAGAAGATTATTAATTGAGTTTCTGAACCGAATAATTAGTGAAACTGATAACACGTAATCAGAAGCTAACCCGTAATGCGTAGGAAATAGAGGGTACAAGTCTGAAAATAAAATAAAAATTTCCTCGTTATGCATTACGACTAGGGTTGGTCCCCGAGCCTTCGGGGTTGGAAAAGTCGGGGGTCGGGGTTTTCGGGGTTGACAAAGTCGGGGTCGGGGTCGGGGTTGCTCAAATTGTTCGGGGTCGGGGTCGGGGCTGAAAATAATTTCGGGGTCGGGGTCGGGGGTCGGGGTTGAAGTGAAAATTTACAAAATCCAGCATTTTTATCCAAAATTACTGTACAAAATCAACATTTTTATTAAAAAATCAACTTAATCTTCATTATCTTCACTTTCTGTATCTAATTCGTGATAAGTTGAAGGCGCAAGAAGTACTTTATCCAAGTTATCCTTCATAATCCCCAAACCCACAAGGTAACTCTTACTCCACCTCTTATGTAAAGGGATTGAGGGGATATGAAGGCATATCAGAGGATTAAGATGGATATAATGGGATTTAGAAGGATTTGACGGGATATCGGGGAGTTGCAAGGATAACGGGAGAAATCCATCTATCCATCAATTTCTCCTAAAGCCTCTGTATCCCTTCATTGAGTCTAGCGCCGCAGGCAAAAATTTTGAGAATTTTGGAAGGTCAAGAGCCAGATTTCTTCCATTTTCGGCGCCGCATGCAAAAATTTTTAGAATTTTGGAAGGCCAAGAGACAGATTTCTTCAATTTTCTGCGCCGCAGGCGAAAATTTTGGAAAATTCATGACTAGTTTAAAATTCTAATATTGTTTCATGTTTAAAATATAAAAAAAATAAATTTGCAAATTTAAAATCAAGATCATAGTTTAAAAATATGTATTTTTGAGAAGAAAAATTTTCTCAGCCTTATTTCCATCCCTGGATTCGAACAACATTCCTATCAAAATAGCTAGATGGCTGAAGTCAGTTAACCTAACCACTCAACCATCGACCAACAAAAGGAAACAGGAGAAAATATAAATATTCCTTTCCCTTTTCCTTCATATATTTAGCATCAAAGTCCCGATCCCGTTCCGATCTCTAGTTAATTAATGCAGTTTGAGTCGGGGGCATAAAAATTTTTCGGGGTTCGGGGTCGTCGGGGTCGAACTTTCGGGGGTCGGGGTTTTCGGGGTTGGGAATGTCGGGGTCGGGGTCGGGGTTTTAGGTCAAAAAATGTCGGGGTTCGGGGTCGGGGTCGGGGTTAGTCGGGGTCGGGGACCAACCCTAATTACGACTAAACATCGACAATATTCCCCATTAAATAAAAAAACTTTAATTTTTATAAAAATTAAAATATTATATTATTTTTAAGTACGAATTATTCTTACAAAACATATTCTTACCAATTTTTTGTTTGGAGCGAATCAACTACAAATTATAAGAATATGATAATGGATCTACCTATGAATATAATTACAACGACAATAATTTTTATATGTTATGGAGCTGTAAGTTTAACTTGCAAAAATAGTATTTTAATAAAAAATCGGGTTGCGCCCGAACGCTTGGTGGTGTCGTGATATAGGGGTTTCAAATTGGTTGCAGGCAAAAGAGGGGGGATAAGAGAGTGGGGAGAGTGGGAAGGGTTCTGCGCGAGGTCTAAGAATTTAAAATAATCTAAACTAACAAAAAATTTGTTAATTTTCAACAGATATTCACAAAAGTAATTAAAACAAATCGTAAAAATGTTATCCAAATGTCCTCAAATACGGAATTCAAGAAGAGTAAACGTAAAAGTGAACTAAAATGCGCAGCACATTTTGCTTTAATTTCGACTTTTTATATTGGTAAATTAAATATTTTATTCAAAACTAAAAATTCTCAAGTAAAGACAATTTTGTTGTTCCTTTACAAAACTATCATACGGATCAGTAAATGATCTCATATTAGTTTAAGCAAATATTCTTAGATTGTCAAAAGAATTACTTAATGAGCTTTATTTCTATTCGTATTTGACTTAAGTTGAAGATAAATAATCCTTTGGAAACATTCCAAAATTTTACTCTGAAAGCAAAAAAATAACGAAATAAATAATTATGTATTTTTATAGCTGTATGGGTATCGTATAGAATATTTCCATTAATTGTTTCATCATCTACTCCTGAATGGTATTCCTTAACTGGATTTTTTATGATTTTAAATATATCTTCTAATGCAATAATTTATTTTACAATGAATAAAGAAGTGAGAAAATATTATTAAAATTATTTTTTAAATAAATAACTTTAAAGGTCCAAAAACAATTAATTATTTCTGCATATACTTTATTTGGTTTGCCAACCACAACTTTAACAAATTCTTCAAACAATTTAATGAATAATAGAAATATTAATCTGCAAGAACGATGGGCTAATCAAAGACCAACACAGCTCCAACCTGTGAATAAAATTGTTAGATAAAGAAAAATTGATATAAGGATATTTTTTTTATTTTGTTAGAAATGATTTTTAAGTTAGTAATGTACATACTTTTTACTAATGTCTGGAATTTTAAATTTCTCAAAATTTCTATACAAATTTTGGTACGAGCTTCCAAACACTGCTTTTTACCTCATTAATGTCTATGACTTTTATTCTAACTCTATTGTAGGGTTGTACCCCGAACGCTCGGGGGCGGGTATGTCGGGGTACGGGGTTTTCCAATTGTTTCGGGGCGGGGTTCGGGTCGGGGGAGCAAAATATGGCCGGGGTTCGGGTCGGGGTACGGGGGTTTAGTGGAAAAATTTTTAGAGGAAAAAATGCTCAAAAATAGTTAGAAATCGATATATTTTCGTTGATTTAAATATTCAAAAATTAAGTAGGATTTGAAGAAATTAGAGGGGATTTGAAGAGATTAAAGTGTATAACTTGGGATATAAGTGGATCTGGAGGGCTTAAGTGGGATTTTTAGGGATTAAATCCTCCGATTACCATTCAACTTCCATTTACAGCGCCGCAGGCAAAATTTTGAATATTTGGAAGATCCTTAAGGCAAAAATCTTCCATTTTTTGCGCCGCATGCGAAAATTTTGAGAATTATAGAAGGCTAGAAGCCAGATTTCTTCCGTTTTTTACGCCGCAGGCGAAAATTTTGAAAATATTGGAAAAATCTTCGTCGGAAATTTGCCTTAAAAATTTTCGGAAATCGGAAATTTTTCCAAAATTTCGGAAATCGGAAAGAAAAAAACGTCGGAAATCGGAATTTCGACCCACCTCTGATACAGAACCAACGACTAAGCCACTCAACCACAAGTCTCTTAATAAAGAAGGAAAGAAAATTATGATATTTCATTCATTTTTCTTTCAATAATAAAAGCAAAGTAAAATGGGTGGAAATTTTTTAAATTTTATCCATTAATTTCTCCAAAAAATGACACTTTTTAGGGGTATAAAACCCCGATAACCCCGAAATTTTTTTGGCCGGGGAACGGGGTTTTCACTTTTTTTCGGGGCGGGGTTCGGGTCGGGGAGAATCGTGAAAAAATCGTTCGGGAACGGGGTCGGGGTACGGGGTCGGGGTACAACTCTACTCTATTGAAAATATATCATTAAATTTAATCAGTTCATTTTTACTAAATTTTTTTCCGGACTCTAGTCTTAGCAAGCAGAGGTGGGTCGGAACAGTCAGAGGTATCGGAAATCGGAACTGTCGGAAATCGGAAATGGCTCAAAAGTCGGAAATCGGAATTCCGACCCACCTCTGTTAGCAAGTGATGGAATTAAACACATTTTAAATTAAATGAGTTAACCGTTTAAAAATTAAAAAGAATATTTATGGAAAGAAATGACAGCAGGAAAAATGTATAAAATGTGCTTAACTTTCTCACTTCATTTGATTTTTTGTGTACATTCGAGAGTGTTTTTGTTTTAAATTTTAATAAAGAAAGTAAAGTATTACCTTTTAAAAAAAGTATTACCTTTTAAGTATTACCTTTTAAAAATTTGTAAAAATGATAAAATTAAAAATTACTTTTATTTTCTTTCTCACTGTAAATTTTTTATATAATTATAAAAAGATGGCATTTTTGCATAAAATTTATAAATTTTAATAAAACTATAAGTAATTTGGACAAGAAGATTGCTAAACAGACAAGTATTGAGTAGTAAATACATAAAATCCCTACATTATTAAATCTAATTAGTTCATTTTTACTAAATTTTAACAATTTTATGATTTACTAGTTTACTTACGTATTTGATTAATTATTAGATTAAGATTTTTTATGTTTTATCTTAAACCTAGCGAAATAAATTAAACTAAATATTAAAGGAAATTTTATCAATTAATTTTTATATTTTATTCAACATTTAAATTTTATTCAACAGTTAAATGTAACTTTTTTGCATTTATTATAAAAATATTCCTCCATTATATTGTCAATTGAAAGCATTTTAATTCTTTCCTCAATCTTCTAAAAAATTTAAATTTATTAAATTTATTTTATACAAGGTTCGGATTTGTACTTATTTTGGAAGTACAGTACTTACAAATCGACACTTGTACTTCCAAAATTAAAAATGTAACATGGAAGGTTTTTAAGGTTTGGGCACTCCCCCAAATTATATTCCCTTTATAAAATTTTATTTTACTCTAACCTGGAGTTGTTTCATGATGACAGCATCCAATATTATCACAAATCGACTTAACTAAATCACAAACAACTCTATCCCCACTAGCTTTTGTACAAGTATCATGACAATACTTTTCACAATCAAGTTTTAAGATTTTACAGTGTTCCTCCACCGAGAGACTAACCAAAAACAAAAGAATAGCCGCAATTATTAGAAATTGTTTCATTATTGAGAATAAATTATTTTATATAATTTTGCTAAAATAACTATTTTAAGTCTGATTAGAATGAGAATGGTTTGTGTATCGAGAAATTTGGGGTTGAGACTGCGGAGTCGGATTTAATGAGGTCTGGATGAGTTCTAAAATTTTATATTAATAAAGAACGTAATCCCAGAATTGTTGAACTATGTATACTATTCAAGATTTTATGCTTAATTCCATTGCTAGTTTGTTTAATTTATTCAACTTTAGAGTATAAATAATGAATTAAATATTAATTATGTATGTAGATAAATTTAAAAAAAGATATATGTATGTATAAATATAATAATTTAAAATTTTATTCTGAGAGAATAATTTAAAGAATTTTTAAAACTATTCTCGTCTTATATATAAAATTTTTGACATTTTTAATTAACGTTTTTTTAAAAACTTTAATGTGAATAAAGTTTAACATAATGTTATCTAATAATGTTAGTCTAAAAATGGTTGTCACAAATTTTTTTCTAAACTTTTAAATATTAAATTCCTATTGATGATTGTTAAGGAAAAGCGTTATATTGTTTGTTCATTTTGCCATTTTAAAATTGAGAAAAAAATTATAAAAATAATTTAAAATATTTTTGACTTTCTCATAAATTATTTATATTTATTATTTTAATTATTAAATTATTTTGCAAATTCACATATTTATCGTTAGAATTTATAGTATAATTTATTTATCACAAATTTATCATTTATTCATTCATATAATTTATTCCCTTCCTTTTTTATCACTTCATTCTTTATAATTTGTTCAATACTAAAAGAAAATATTTAAAAAAAAATGATTAAAAATTATCTCAATTTAATATAAATTATGTCATCTATTTTGTTATAGAAATCCTACAATAGAGAAATCCTACAATAATATCTTAATAATTACTAGCGGAATTTTAACATAAATTTTGATATATGTACTTAACAAAAACCAACAATAATCTAAATAATATTTTTAATTTCCTACCTCCATTTAATAAGCCAAAGCCATGGGAATGGCATATAGAGATTGCTTTATCCAAATCAACACACAAATCTACATCAAGTAAACATTTGTCACATATAACAGCACACAAACTAGCAAGATCGTTATCATCATCATTACCCGCTTTAATTGAAGCAATCAGTGTCATGCTTATTAAAAGATAAAGTACTCCGAAAATCATGAAAGTTTTCATTTTTAAATCAAAAAATGTTTCTATGTTTATCTGAAACTAAGATAATATTTATAAAATTATTTAAAAAAAATTAATTTAGGGGAGATCCGTTCATACATGTTTTTTATATTAATTTTGAGGTTAGATCAAATATGTAATGCTGAAAAATAATCATAAGACAGGTACTCGCAAATTGTTGATTAATGCGAGTAAAATCCGATTTATTAGGGCCGTGTGCAGAAAATTTTTCGAGACGTATTACAGCTATTGAAAAAATTATTTTTTTATGGAAAGGCATTGAATTCCGAAATTTTTTAATGTGATCAGATTATATTATTAGCGGCTACAGATCTTTACAGAAAAAGGAAAAACTCTGAAATTATTAAATGGGGTAATTGAATTTAAGATGATTTGATATTGAAATCAGTTTTAGTTTTTCAAATGATACGCTTCTATTAAATTCACAGCTTTATTTATATCCCAATCTCTGCCTGAACTTTAACAATATCAATTTTAAAAATTGATGTAAATATTTTTGAAGTTCATAATAATAACCAAAAACATTTATTATTTTTATTGCCAAAAAATGAAAATTAATATTTTTTATCACGTTATTTCTAAAAATAATCTACCTATTTATTGACCGATCAAAATAAATTATTCAAAAAATACTTTTAAATGTAAATATTTATAAAGTTTATCATCTTAAAAACAATCTAAAATAATCTATTTTTGTATAAATGCTAAGAATTTGAATATTATGAAATCATTTAAAATTATTTTTGAAAATATTTAAAATATTATTTAAAAATAAAATGAAAAAATTATTACTTCATGGAGATGCATTGAATTACGAAATTTTTTAATGATATCAGGTTATATTATTAGCGGCTATGATTTTTTCAGGAAAATAAAATTAGATATCATTTATTCGATATACTAAATGAATTAGTATAAGATTATCAGTTTCTTTTAAATCCTTGTATATTAGGCCGGGATATAAATTTCAGCAATATTACCGTTAAATGAGACTACGAGAAAGCACTTATCTAAAATTATTTTTCCTTTCTTAACACTTATTAATCTTTATTGTAAAATTATATAAATTCTGCCTTACCTAGGAAAGATTTTCAAAGATCTGATAAGTCGAAATAAATGACTCAACCCGCAGACAATTAACGAAAACCCTCACAGATCTATTGAAGAATCAAGAGTATTTTACACCTTTATGCCATCATTTTACTATCTCTTATTTTATATACGAATAAGCTTCATATTTAAATATTTATTTACAAAATCAATGAAGAATCAAATAATTTACATATGTTAATTGATCATAAATATCGTTAAAAAAATTTTTAGATTATTATCAAAAAATATTAATATTCATGCATATTTTATCAAATACCATAGTTTTTATTAAAAATTAATATTGTCTAATATCCACAATGATCTAAAAAGAATAATTAAAATTAAAATTTATTCATTTAAAAACCTTGAGAACAATTAAACCACAATTTTGCACATCTTTTTCTTACAGAAGCAAACAATCCTTTATAACTCTGACACGTTGCTAAGTTTGAACAATTTCCTGCACAATCACTACATAATATTGTACATCCATCTTTGCATAAATCAGAATAAACGATTATTAATAAATTAATTAAAAGTAAAATTAGTCCAAAAAATAATAAATTATTCATTATTAAATCTGAAATTTTTTTAATTTATATTTTTTTAAGTCATAAATTTTTTTAAGAAACTTAACTGAACAGTGAAATATAAAAATTTTATCAGACTTGGTAATGGACATGGATTTTGGTATCCGTATCCGGATATTTACGGTGGATACAGACAGATATCCGCAGGCATTTTGAACTTATCTGTATCCATATCCGCATCCATTACCAAGCCTGGATTTTAACAAATCTAGTCATTATTCGAAATTTTCCGAAAATTTTTTCATTTTTAAAATTTTTCAACCATTTTTAATTAATTAAACATGTATCGATGTATAAAAATAAAATAATTTAGAAAATTTATATTTAAATAAGCAGTAAAAGAAATTATTTTATTTGATTTTATTTTATTAAATGTTAAATTAAAATATCAATAATAATCACAAAAAGGAAGTATTATTTATTATACGCTATACAAGGAAAATTTTTTTTAATATGTCAAAATTCGTGGCAAATTTTAAAAGAATTCGTCACCTATCAAATATAAAATAAAATTTATAATATATAAATTTTGTTTATTTATTTATGTATTTATTTGTTTAACGAAAAATTAAATATGCTTTCACGGAAAAATTTTGCGAATATATTTTTATTCTTCGAATAAATTAGATAATAAATGATACAAATTTTTAAAAATTTAATCTTTAGTTTTAATACGGAACAAAAATTAGGTAAATTGAAAAACATTGACAAGCATTTAAAATGATTTTTGAGATTATATATTTCACAACAGTATAGACTTTATGTCCGAATATTAAATTTACTTAGTAAATGCGCTTAGTACTTAGTAAATTACTTATTAATTTTATTTTTCAATATTAACTATATTTATTTGGCACTAAATTTTATATACTAAACTTGGAGATATGAATATAATACCAAATTATGGGTGTATCAAAATAATAATTGCCCTCACCCAGATAATCTCTAAGCCTCCCCCTTTCCCTTCCCTTCTCTATTTAGGGATTAAAACAATAATTAACTAAATTAATTAGGAACATAACACCATTACGAGAATTTCAACCCATTTCCAAGTTTCAAAATTATTGACGATTTTCTAATTTAGGTTCATAACAATTAACTTTCACCTCATTAACAACATTAATAAATATTTAAGACAAAAAATGAAACTTTTATTGATATTTGGACTTTTTTTATTTTTTATAAAAATATTTTCGGCCAATTCTGACTTAGAAAAAGATATATGTAAATTATTATGTAGTCCCTGTGCAACTTCCTGTATATTTGTTAATAAATGTGTGTTTATGCATCCAATGCTAACAGCAGCAAAACAAGAATGTAAAGCTATTGGGATTACATGTACTTATGATTAATTGGTTTGTATTAAAGGGATTACTTATTTAAAAAATTTTTTTTTGATTTTAGAAAGTTTGATTTCAATAAACAAAGAAAATTGGACATAACATTTTTATTTAACTTTTATTTGTGAAATGTATAAAATGATTCTTTTGCTTAACAAATTTAAAAAATTTTTGATTGCTTTTATGAAAATAAAATTTTCTAAATGTACACCTAACTGATTGTTAAATGATTAATATATAAATATTTTTAAAATTTTGTTTATCGAGATATATTTTTTCGAGTTATCTATGTCTAATAAAATTTTCAGTTTTTTGATTTTTCGAGATAGACCGATTTTCTAACATGATAAAATCTCTATTCCAGTCTCTAGTCTAACAGGCGATAGACTAAACACTTTTTTGAATAAACAAGTTAAATTTTAAAAAAATATTTTTCTTGCTAAAAACAATATTTACGGAGAGAAATAACAGCAAGATAAAAAGCATAAAATGTGCTGTGCTTTTTCGCTTGATTTAAATTTTTTGTATTCATTCGAGAGTGTTAAAATTATTTTTAAAATTTAATTTTAAAAAATTTGTTGCTCGAGTAAGTGATTTAAAAATTTGTGGAGATTTTTACATTATATTGTGGATAAATTTTTTCTATCATTTAAAATTATTTTTTGCCTAATAAGCTTATGGTTTATTTAAGTTAAGGCTTAAAAATTATTATGAAAATTTTATCAAGAATGTTTTTTATTTATTTTATTCGTCTCAAAATTTTTGTCTAAACGCAAAACTGAGAGAATAGTTGCCACTGATATTCAATTAAAAGGTTGTCGTTGAGTAAAATTAGCTTATCAAAAGAGTAGAACTTAACTGAGGCTAATTTTGAGGCTATTGTTTTGACTTTTCTTCTACTAACAAATAATAGGTTTGAACAATCCTTAATCATTTAAGTGTTTAAATAAACTTTGTGAATGGTTGTTTAATTAAACAAAAAATAATAGTTATGAATATTGAATTAATTGTTTTAAGTTTTTTTAATAAATTTATACTATGCTATTGCTCCAAAATTTTTTAATACTTTTCCGGATATTTGACAACTTTGTAAATTTTTTCAAGTCTTAAAAATAATTTAATAAAAACTTTAATTTTAGCATTTGGTCGGTTTTTCTAGCTATTAATTTTAAACAAATACAAAATTATTAACAATATTTATTCACATAATAATTTAAATATAATTATGTATTAACATTATTTTAACTTTCACAAAATTTTATTTATTCCGTTGCATTTCTCCATAAGATTTACTGAAATTTTATGAAAATATTGAATATTTTAGTTTATTTATTTATTACTTTATCCTGAGCATGTTGTAAGACAGGTAGTAATCTGTATAATCAGCGCTGGATCAATTGCACATATTTCAGCTTGAATCTTTCCAACTATAATGGATTTTGACAACAAAATTGGCAAAATGTAAGGTCTCCATTAACAGTAACGGTTGTCATGCTGATTAGAAGGAAAATAATTCCAAAAACATGTAACTTGTTCATTTTTGCTCAAATTCTAAATTAAATATTTTATAAATTAAATATTAATAAAAGTGGGAAAAGAAGAAGCCTATATATTCTTTGATAGCTAGTTTATATCATAGACAATAAAATAGATATTATTTAATTTAGAAAAAATTTTTATTTTAACTCAAATGATTAAATTTGTAACTTTCGTATTTGAAAAGATTAAAGTATAAGAGGTTACGTATAAGAGGTTACAACGATAGCTAAACATTCATTTTACCTTAATTTAAAATGAATTTTAATGGAGAAATATTTATAAAAATTTATTAAATGCTTTTTGATTTGATTTTTCCAAATAATTCTGCCTCAATTTATATGCGCTTGTTGGTGTATGCAAGCTAAAAAAATGCAAAAACACGTGAAAAATGTTTTAATTTAAAAAAATAGAATTCAACGTATCTTAAGACGTGGATCTAAAAAATTATAAGGAAATAAAATTTAAAGGGTTGCGGGCTTGAATTAAATTTTTGGTGTATTTTACTGTATGATATTATCAAGTTATTATTTATTCAAAATACATACAACGTATGTTGATATCACTTAAAAATAATTGATAAAAAATATAAATATGAATAATGTGTTGGCAATTATAGTCAAAAAAACTCTAATTTTCACGTTAATTGGTAGAATTTGATTCTTTCTACTTCCCTGATACATATGTATGTATCTTTTGTTTACATAAAATAAGCTTACAATTCATTGACACGTAAAGAGGAAAAAATTTTCTTGAAAATTTTATCTAAATTATTTTCTAATTTTTATTTTGAGCAATAAATAAACAAAATAATATTTTGTTTATCTACAAACACAACAAATTGTATGATTGAAAAATTAATTTTCTTTAATGGTTAAGGAATAATAATTTTTTATTTACTCCATTTTTGTTATTTTTATTTGGATTTACTTATAGATTAATTAGTATACAATATTTATTGCTATAATATCTATAGATCTTCTAGGTTAATTAGTATAGAATGTTCATTGCTGAAATATCTATAAATCTTCCACAAATAATCCATATTATATAACTCAAAATATAAGCAAAAATATTATTTCTGTTTTCATACATAATTATCAAGCATTCAATTATGTATAAGCTTATTTTGATTTTATATACAAAACCATTTAATATCCCAATAATTTAACTACACTTGATTAAAATTTTAAAATAAAATATTTATTTTATTTTATAATTTGAACTTTCTAATAATTTCGTATTAAGAAGTCTAAAACCTTTCGATTAATATTTTTGAATATCTAAAATGAAATCATAATGACTAATATTACAAAAAATCTTTCAATTTTCTTAATATTTTTTGCCTACTTAAAAAATAAGCTTACAATTTCTATTGACACGTAAAGATGAAAAATTGTTTTGATTCTATCGAAAATGTGTTTTGTTTATTTTGTTAAATAAACAAATAAACGAACAAGATAGTTGCCTTCCAACAATATATTTTTTTGTTTGAAAATTAAAAGCTTTCAATTGTTTGTGAAATTCATAACAATTTCATTTTAAGGCTTTTATTTGCTCTATTTTTGTTAACGATCCTTTGACAAAGTTAATTTATGTACAAATTAACATTCATGAAACTGAAGTTATGACATCATTTTTTAATCATACATTTGTATTTTAAATTATGTACAGTAATTAAACTTTGATTAAACACGGAAATCATTACAAGTAAACCAAAAAGAATTAGCTCTGTGGTAAATTAGGCTAATTATTATAATAACTGTATATTATTATACAGGGTGACAAAAAACTATACATATTATTTAAAATTCTGAATTTATTTAAAAAAGGAATTTTCATGGGTTTTTTAACTTTATAATTTTTCTGATTAAAATATAATTTATTTAAATATAAAAAATTAAGAATCAAATTTATTAAAAAATAATAAATATTTTTATTTTACTAACAAGTAAATTAATCGAATTTCCTATTATTTTTTGTTGCTATGCAATTAAGAACACAGTTCATCTAGAAGTTGTTCTATAATACATAAATATTATTTTGAGTTAATTTAAATAAATTTAGACCATTTGTTTGAACAATAGTGCCCTGCTTGTTTACATTGAGTAAGCAATGATGTTTTAAGTTCTACCAAATTTCCATCTTGACAAAGAAAACCTACGTTTAGGAAGCAACTATGGCAAAGGAAATTACAGCAATCTGCAAAAAAATCTCCTCCATTTACTGAAGTAATCATTGCTATATTAAACATCAGAAAAATAACAAAAAATGACATGAAGTTATTCATTTTTCTTAAAAAAATTTAATTTATTAAAATTTACATAATTAAAATTTTCGGCAGGACTAGGATTAAAAGGCCTATCGTTTTTTGTTATTTTTGGTGTAGAACTCGGTCAGTTAAATTTATAATAAACTCGTTATAGAGATTTAAGTTTAAGAAATGACTACATATTTGGTACTGCTTTTTCTATATTTATATTCAGGTTATTGTTGAGTTTTTGCTATTGAAATTTTAGAAAAAAGTCGTGGCAGGTTTTACTCGTATACATGTAGTAATTTTTATTACAATTCAAAACATAAATTTTACCTAAACGTATACATATTTTTTGCAAAAATATTTCATAAATTTTTTGCAAAGATATTATGGACAAGAAATTTTAAAGCACAAATTATGTTACAGTGTTTAATAATTTAATTGAATTAGTGATATATAATTTAAGATTGAATTAATGGAGTGGATGTCCCTGGCTTTTTGTTCAACGTTTGATGGTTGAAGTTGGAACAACTTCTGGCTCTTCAAATGCCATTCTTCTATTAAAAGAGATGTAAAATCTAATTTCAAACCTCGGATTAAGAGCCATAATATCAAAAGAAACAAAATTTTAGATCAAATTTTTACTATGTAATCATAATGCTACGAATTATCTAAGGAATTAGTCTGTTAAGAAAATGGACACTCTAATTTGGCAACGCTTTCTTTCCTACACATTGCATATTATAATTTTTATCAAAGATAATAGAAAATTTAAAATAATTTAAAATAATATTTAAAATAATTTTTAATCATTCTTCAAATGAAGATCTTATTTTCATTATCAAAATTAACAATCCATTCTCCTTATTTTTTATTTTTTTATCACCTATCTCAAATTTTGTATCTTAATTTCACCTATCTCAACAGTTCTAGGTTTTTGGAGGCCATTAACATTTCTATTGCTTCGATAGAAATAATTTCGCCTCCTCTTTGCAATAATCTTTTGACTTTGTTGTTGGAAATTCTAACAAAATTATGTTTATATTTGTTTAACGAATCTTTTCATGTGAAGATTTAATTCCAACACGACAAATTTCCCTATTTTTTGTGTTGGCAAAAAGGAAAGAAATCGAAAATTATTTCTTGTTAAATTTGTTTGCAAAAAATATTCTCAGATTAAAACAAATTTATCAAAAAAAATTTTAAATTTATAAAATTCAAAATAGCACATAAAAGTTAATATAATTAATAATTTCTCAATATTATTAATAAAAGATGTATGCTTGAATAAATCAACTAAAAACCGAGCGATATTAATTAGAATTAAAGAATAAAGCCTTAGTTAACGTAAAATATAATGTTTTATAATTCTTAGAAACAGCCAAACATTTTTGGAATTCATGTCATTTTATATGAATTTTTAATTTTCAAAAAATTTTTAACTAAATTTTTAATTTTTTCAGACATCAACCCAATACTTATTTTTTTATCCTTTCCAAAATATTTAATCCTCCAGACATCGATTATTTGCGAGGATGACAAAGGCGATGAATAATCGTTTATTTTCTTGTTTAGAATTTTCTGCGCGACATTTCCTTCTCCCATTTTCAATCCTGACAATTTTTATTCTTTCCTTTTTCATTCTTTTTTTAATTCTCGATTTTATTTTTATTTTTATTCTTCCCATTATCGACATAAATTTATTTATATGCCTTCAGAAAAAAATATTCAAATTGAAGTAAATATTTAAATTTATTTAAAAAATATTTTTTAAGAATTTCGATCCAAATGCTCCAGAATTCTTTCCTTCAACTTGTTGTGAGTTTCTGCATGTTAAGTCCGCCTTATATGTTGCCTCCTTTATCCAAGTTGATAAAATATAAATAAAAATTTAAAAAATTATTAATTAGCTAGCATTTGTGTTCTCCTTAACACTTGTCTATTTAATACTCGAACAATCTCAATTTATTAATGCAGTAGATGTTTTTAGACCGGGAGTTGGATTTGTTGTTATTGTTAACTTGGCTGGAATATTTTGTGCTGTGGGTTTTTTTGAATTTCAAAACTATTATAGTGTAAGGTCGGCGAAGTTTCCTCCCAGCCTAGAAAATAAAATATAAAATGAAAACGATCAGTCCGTGGTGGATGAGCAGTTAAAAGGTCCCATTGGAGAGATCTCACGATAAAGTCCCATCCAATCACTTGCCATTCTCTCTAATGGGTTCGGCCGCTTTATTATATTTTACATAATTTTATAATTATTTCTTAAAAACTTTAGTTAACCGGTGTATGTTTGCAACGAGATCTTTTTATTTCTGTCCAAATTATGCTTCTTCTAGGACTTGTTTGCCTCTCAGATTTATTTGCCTTTATTTTAGGTATTTATATAAATTTTCATTTAAATTTTATTAAAAGTATTTACAATGGCTTTTGGTTCGAGAATTCCACTTGGAAATTCCTTGGATGCCAAATCTTTAGTTCAATCTGTTTTGGTTAATGACCAACGTTGGGAATACTTTCTTGGCCCGTTTTGGCCCTACTTGCTGGCTATTATTTTCCATATGACAGCGTGTGCAATGATTTGTTTTGTGGCTATTTATCGACGATATAGGAAATTTTTAACGGTATTATTTAAAGGATATTGTTATTATAATATAATAGAATTATTCTTGAATAATACTATTAGTCTTATATAAAGTGGCGGTTCCGGGTATTCGAAACCGAAAAACCCCGGATATCCGGAAATTTTCGGTTCGGATATCGGATCCGGATATCCGAAATCTTTAGTTCGGATCCTAGAATTAGGGGAAAAAGAAGAATTCTTAATTCACCTTAATCCCCTTAATCTCTCTTATAAACGTAAATTAACACAAAATATTTATTTTTCAGAGAAAATACGCAGCGATATCAGATTCTTCTACACTACGACACTGACCTTTAAAGAAAAATATTTAAAAATATTTATTATTAAATTACACTTTTCTCCTCTATTTCACCCAAAAAATTATTTTCATTTCATTAAAAAATGCGTGGGAGAAACGAACAGTTTTAACATTGTCAAATAATATTAGCTAACTAAAAAATAAAAAATGTGGATTATTTACTAAAATTTTGAACGGATTCGAAAAAAGTAAGAGAGTACTCAACCGGAAAGTGTTTTAAATTTAAATAATATTGGAAATTTACTTTGTTTTTTTAAATTAGCTGTCAATCAGCTGAGGCAAAATTAAATTGCTTAAAGCGAGAAAATTAAAATAAACATTTTTTTTCAAAAATTAACTAATTTTTCTCAAACTAAAGTTTTATAAAATAAAAGAAATATTTACTTAGAATTTAAAAAAATTTTAAATTTAAAAATATTTTAAATTATCTGAAATTTGTTTGTTTATTTTTAACAAATTTTTGTTTTAAATTTAAAACAAAAATTTAAATTATACATAAGGTTTATTAAATATTTAAGGTTAATAATTTTGCTTTAATATAAGTCTTTTAAGAAATTTGTTTTAAAATATAAATTGTCGATGGATTAGTGTAAAGCATATAGCTATTTAATTCCTAGGGCTATGCAGTAGGCGGCGCGGAGTAATGGCTAACACATCAGTCCGGTCTACTGAATATGCTGGTTCGCTCCCAGCGCCGCCGAATACCCTTTTGCACTAGCTAAAGGAGAGAAATAGCTATAGCTTAACTTAAGTCACAAAAATAATTTGATTCCTTTTAAATTTATTTCGCCAATCACTCTTAGATTTTTGTCAAAAAATTTTGAATGGATTCGAGGCTTGTGTTTTAAGTTTTGAAGGTTTTGTTTAATTCTTGAAGGGGTTGTTAATTTCCTTTTTTGTTTTTTTTCTTTTCACTAGCCGCTCATTAGAAATTAATTCCCTCGCGGTTGTACTTTTTCCTTTTTCTTTCCTTTACTAAACTTTTAAGTCCCAACTTTTGTTTTTGTTAATCCTCTAAATATTTTGTTTATTTTACTTTAATATTTTCTGACTTGAAAAAGAAATTGTTATTATTCCTTTTTTTGAACTTTAAAAAAATATTTTTTAAATTTAAACATCTACTCATTACTTCGAGATATCTCATACCAGGGATCGCGATGATTCCCGACGATTTTTGGCTCTTGAATTCACGATTCCCGAAAACCGGGAATTTGATTTTCTGTCGGCGCGTTCCCTGTCTCATACTATTCCCGTTTGACACTCCCAGTCCTGCCTCTAATTTAAACTCAAATCTTTTTTCATTATTTTCCTCCCAAAAAAACGTAAATTTTCTATCCTTTTCCCAATTTTCCAACCAAAACCTTAAAACAATTTACCCAAAAATTTACTCACTAATTTAGAAAAGATTTAACAAGTTTTAACAATTTAGTGTGCCAAAATATCCAAAGAAATTTGAGATAAACGAGTTTTGTTTCAGTCAACCATTTTGTGTGTTTAACTAATTTTTGGATATCCAAAAAATTCTTTTCTCCCATTTATTTTTTTTTCAGTTTTCCATTCTTTTATCCAAAATTTTATGACGTGTTATTGTCTTAGGCTTTTGGAATTTTGGCAGCAAAAAACAATTAATAAATTGGGCAAAAGGGCATGCCACATCAATTTAATTTCCCCTACTTTCTTTAAAGTTTTATTAATACCCAAGGGAATTAAAAACATCAAAAAATCTGCTAAAACATTTAAATATATGTATAACCTTTAAATATTTATTTGGATTTATTTCTACGTCAAAAATAAATTTTTTTATAAACTCTGTTCATATAAAAATAAATTTCAATAAATTTGAAACTACCTATTTTTGAAATTAAGTTTAAAAAACATTTATTATACATACAAATGAAAATTTACAAAATTAAAACAATTCAATATTAATAATTTGAGCAAAAACTCGAAATTCTGATCTCTGGAATTTTTTTAAATTTTTGGAATTTTCTTTTCTAAATTCGTCTTTAAATACATATTAAAACTTCCATTTTTATAAATACTAAGAATATTCTAAATGATTATAATTCACAAAGATCAAATTAGTTTAAAAAATAGTTTTAACACAAGAAGGCGTCATTTTAACATTTTAAATTTATTTTCAAAGAAATTGGCGTTTCCTTATTTAATAAGCCTTAATATTTATGTGAAATCATTTAAAACCTATAGCCAGCTAGTCATGGCTAGACCTATAGTCAGTAAAATATAACATTCACTAATGTTTAATGATGTTGTTAACTCTTAGATATTAAAAAATCAACGAGTATATTACCGCATGGAGATCTAATAAACTTTGAGATAAAAGTTCTGGAGACGAGAATTCAGTACACTCAATAAACTATGTAGTTTCAATTGTAGCTTTAATTAGATTTGTAAAAAATAAAATAAATTTAATATCAGAACAAGAAAATTATCAAAATTTTATTTAAATTTAGGGATATTATTGCTTCCCAAATTTTATTCTTTGAAATAACACAATGATTTGTTACTTCCAAATGTTTATTTTATTAACGTCCTTATTCCTTTGTTTTGGAGAGATAATTGCAAATGGAGAGGCGGGTCATAATAATGAAGAAATTGGAATGGAAAAAAGTAAGGAGAAAATAACTGTCAAATTATTCAATGAAAATTAAGGAATGCTTTCATATGCCGATTTAATGAACAATTTTGGAGGACCAAGTGCCCTCGATTTGGCGGGTCAGGGCCTCCTTATAGACGATGAAAGACCAAAACGAGAACAAAATTATAATAATGACGATGTACATATAATGACTCTTTGGAAGCGATCACCTTCCTATGGACCTTCTTTCTTTAACACAGCTGGAGATTTGACTAAAAAGGATGACTTTATTGCGCCAGGAGTTTTGAGATTCGGGAAAAGAATGCCTGGGGTTCGGATTTTATATTTAAATTTTATTAAGGAAATTTTATCTGACTCGAACCTCTCATCTATAGATAACTCAATATTAGTTAAAAACGATATGACGATTTTTCAAACCTCAGGGATATCGAAAATTGTATTTCAGAATAAACTTTCTAGCACAAATTGCACACTTAATTTTTGATGAGTAACTTAAAATTATTCTCCTTCAACTTCAGGTACTTCGGTTTGGTAAAAGGGACAGAGTTGTTATACAAGAAAAGAAGGCCGTCCCAGGCAAGCCTCTATTCTAAAATAATTTTTATATAACTTTCAAATAATTTAAGGGGTACTCCGTTTTGGCAAAAGACAATCTCAAGAGAGTGGAGCAGTCCCAGGCGTGCTCAGATTCGGTAAAAGAATGCCTCAAGTCCTCCGATTTGGAAAATAAATTAATTATTCCAACTCAAAATTGTAAAATAAATTTTATTAATATATTATAGCCATTCCTTTCCATCATCGTTCTATTGTCTTTTCCGCCATTGCCATTTATTTTTTATGGCACAGAATAAATGAATTTGAGTAATTTTTAAAATTTATTTCAGATTTAAATAGATTTTTATGGAATAGACAGAAATATTTAGATCAGGGCTCGAATTCGTCTTTTTTGAAAGCACATTATTTACAGACCGCCCGTCATTCTTACGAAATTGGAAATGTATTAAATAATTATATTAAATCGTCATCAACTTTTGCAACATGTCCTCTAACAAAATCGCCGAAACCATGAACAGATCCAAAATTGCGAACTCCTTAATTTTAATATTAAAAATTAATTATGAAATCTAAATTAAGAAAATCAAACTAAAGACTAAATAAAAATAAACCCTATTGAGATTAATTAAGTTTATAGAGAAAGAATAAAATATTTTTAGCTAGTTTATACTAAATTACTTCTATCTGATTTTGTTGGCAGCGGTGTACATTTCTTTTCAGTCATGCAGGTGATGAACGTTCTGAATTTTAATTAATTTGTTTAGGAATACTAAATAAATTTCTATGTTTGGATTAATTTTTGAAATAAAAATATTAAATATCTTCCAATTTGTAAAAAAACCTTACGTGAAACATTCACACATTTCTTTTGAACAGTCGTTTATATCAGCGGAAGCACAATCTTTTAATACAACATCACAAGTTGAAATATTTTTAAAATAATTCAAGAGAGTATCCTTCTCGCATATTTTGTGCACGACTGCTGAATATTTGCATATATCTAAATCCTGCATACACCTTTTAATTAAAGAAAATTTATTTTAATTTTCTGATTATGTAATCCCAGCTAAGACATGTAACCCAATCCGAGAAAAATTTTGGAAACCCGACCAGGCATTTTTCTCAACCCGTGACATCACTGATCCAGACCTTATTGCACATTCTTATATGATGTATATTTTCAATATTTCAACAAAATATATATGATCGAATCTCACTCTAACGTCTTGAATTCCTCTTAAATTATTATCGAACTGAACAGATAGTTGACGTTCGAAAATCAAATATTTGATCAACATTAAAAAAGATCAAATTTCCTTGGATATTTTCAAATTTTAAATTATTTGATACAATCCCGATTCCTACTTATCGTCCGATTCCTATTCTAAACTTGAATTTCTTCAAATTCAACTGTTTCTAATTTTATTTTATATTTTTAGTGTCTCCCAATTAGCAATTAAATTATTTATAAATAACATACAGGCAATCATCAAATTTGTATAATTCATTTGATTCCATAATTTTAGTGCACTCATCTACACTTGGTGGTTTAACTGGTTGTTCAGCCTGTTCAGCTTGCTCATCTCCTTTTGTTATAACAAAAGTAACTAGTGCCAGAATAAAAGTAGTTTTTCTGAAAAGTTTTATCAGTTATTTTAACAGAATATTGATATTTGAAATTTTTTATTTTTAAAGTTTGGTTGACTCTATAAAAATTAGATATATGTAATATCCTGGTTCTATTTAAGTTATATTTAAATTAGTTTATTTCAAAACAAAATAAAATATTCAACTTACAAAAATGTTTCATTCATTTTTATCAAAATTTTTATTTTTAATCAATTAAAATTAATTAAATAAAAAAATTTGATGTAAATATAAAATTTAAAAAATGAATCAAAATTATTTTATTTCATCTTAAATAGAAACAATAGTTCATTTATACTTTAATTCATTAACTTGTTTTGTTTTAATTAGGGAAGGAAATTTAATTGTTTAAATAAATTTTTTAATAACAACTGCGTGTATCCGTACTAAGTCAATTTTTTATTTTAAATAGTATTTATAAAATTTTTAAGTTTAATAATAACAATGTTATTTATTTATTAAGTAAACTTGTTTTGTTTTAAATAAAAGTATTTTATTGATAATAAAAGTACAATTCTAACGTAAATACGAGTTTTGTTAAGACCACTTTTGAATGATTTTTGCTGTAAAATTTAGATAATACACAAAAATTTGTTATTTTATTCTTCCTTCTTTAAATCATCCGCAACATTTCCTCTAATAAAATCACTAAAACCATGAAGAGCTCCAAAATTACGGGCTCCTTAAATTAACGATATAATGATATAAAAACAATAGATTCGTGATTAGAAATTATTTTTGTGAATTTCAATAAAAAAAATAGAAACAGAGCTATTATGATAAAAACAAGGTCTTACTATCATTCCCGGCCAGGGATGGACAAAATTGAATTTTACCCTTATGTTTCTTTTTGCGTAAATTTGGCGAAATTTTTGTTGAAAACCTTTACATTTAGTGTTCACCAATCTGATTATTTAAGAGGTGGGGGTTACAATTACTTTTTAAATTGTCTCTTGTAAGTAGAGTTGGGCGGGATCGGGATCCCGACGAAAAATCGGGATCGGGATTTTGGAATGATGATCCCGATCCCGGTCCCGATCCCGACTGCGGGATCGGGATTGGACGAAATCGGGATCGGGATTCGGAATAATGATCCCGATCCCGGTCCCGATCCCGAATCGGGATAGGGATTGAAAAATCGGGATCGGGATTTAGTTAAAAATTTTTAAAAAAATTTAAATTTTTATTTTCTTTGCATATACCTCAATATAATTCCATAATTTTCATCTGCTGTGCTGAAATATTGATTTTAAGTCCCAGCGCGCATTTGTTCTTGGCGTATCAGGGATTAAGGAGGAGGGATAAAGTATTAACGATAAGGTGATTCTGATGGATTAAGAGGGATATCGTTGATTAATGAGATATTGGGATCTAGATGGACATTAGGAATTTGGGTCATCATGAATTTTCTTCTTATTCACCGCCGGAGGCAAAAATTTTGAAAAATTTCGAAGATTCTCAAGCTAAAATCTTCATTTTTAGCGCCACAGGCGAAAATTTTGAAAATTTTGGATGGCGTAGAAGCCAAATTGCTTTCTTTTCAGCTCATTAATATATATTTTCATTAATTTATAAAATCCCGATTTCATCGGGATCCGATTGCTAATCCCGATCCCGGTCCCGATCCCGGCTCGGGATCGGGATCGGCCAAAACCGGGATCGGGATTTGTCTTTCGGGTTCGGGATCAGAAAAATCGGGATCGGGATTCAAAAAAACCGGGATAATCCCGCCCGATCCCGACCGGGATCCCGATCCCGCCCAACTCTACTTGTAAGTATTGTGAGTAGAATTGACTTACTTCTAACTGATTTTGCTTGCACAGGTGTACATTTATTTTGGTTCATGCAGTTGATGAATGTCCTGAATTTTATTAAATTTATCAATAAGAAATTCTGAATTAAAGTTACAAAGCTGCATTAACTTTTGAAGTAAAAACTAAGAAAAAAACTTTACGTGAAACATTCGCACATCTCATATAAACAGCTATCTATATGAGAGGTTGAACAATCCTCTAATATTACATCGCAAGAATCTGATAGATTTTTATAATAATCAACGAGGGTATCCTTCTCGCATCTCAGGTCCTTTACTAATATAGATTTACATTTAGCTAGATCCTGCATGCATCTATTAATTAATTTTATTAAAATATGGATGCATGTTTCTATGTACTTGATAGTAGATGTTTTCGTTAGTATAATTTTAATTTTATTTTGTAATTTTAATGTCTCCCGATTGGCAATAAATTATTTATAAATAACATACGAGCATTCATCCCTCATGTATTCTGCATTAGAATTCCAAACTTTATTGCATTCAGTGACAGAAGGTGGCTTCTCTCCTTTTGTGATAACAATAGAAATTAATGCCAAAATTAAGATGATTTTTCTGAAACTTTTATTTGACATTTATAATCCCTAAAGTTTATAATAAAATAGTCAACTTACGAGAATGTTTTTTTCATTTCCTTATCAAAATTTTTATTTTTAATAAACTACAATGAAATTGTTATTTAATTCGAATATAAAATTTAAAAAATATAAATTAAAATTATTTTTTTCAAATATTAAATAGTAACTATTTTATTCACTTAATAATATGTTTACTATTTACCTATTAATTAAACTTGTTTTGTTTTAAATAAAATTAAAATATTTTATCAATTATAAAAGTGCAACTTTTATTGAAAAATAAATGTAAATTGTTGGTATGTCCAATTTTTGGACCCATTTTTAGGTTGGATTTTCACATAAAGTTTTTATAGGAGAGGCATCGGAGGTTTTAAAAATTGTCAACTTTTAAAATTATTATTTAACTTTTATCAAGTTTATTCAATTGTTACCAAAAATGCAAAAATGTTCTTTTTTAAAAACAGGTTTATCCAACCCTATAAAAATTATATTATTAATTTATCATGAAAATAAAATTTTAAATAATTAAAGTGAACATGTCCTGTACAACTACGGATATAAAATAATATTTCAGCTTTCCATTTTTATCTAGAAGTTTGAGGTCAGATTTCTTCAATCATCAGCATCGTAGACAAAAATTTTTGAGCAAGTTAAATGGTTAGAAGCCAGAATTTTTACACAATAAAAGAATTCTTTGGCGAAATTTCGATCAAAAATATTTAAAAATTCCATATTTAACAGGCCGAAAAATTTAAATTCAATTCGACAATCCTATGCAAAATAGTCAACTGATTCTTTTCCAATTATTTTTCATAAAATCAAACATTAAACTCAAATATAAAATGATTCAATAAAAGAATAAATAATAAGAATATAAATTTATATACGTGGTTAAATAAACAAAAGAATATTAAAATGACGGAAAACTGAAAATAACAAGGAACAATTCAACTAAATGACATGGTCTTCAATTTACGTGTATATTTAAGCTTTGTTTATTTATCAGAGTTATTAATTGCAAATTTTATTTTCTTTATCAATCCCTAGAAGTATTATACCTTAGTATTGATGATTTGAAAAAATTCGGAACCTTAAGAGAAATAATCTAATGGATAATTATTTTATAATATATTTATGGTTTTTGTTGAGCTATAACCATTGAATTACAAAGTATAATAGGAATTAATGTATCCTTGTGTTATTGAGAGAAATCCTTCGATATAGTATTAGGGCCAATAGTTTTATAGGAAAGCAATCTCATTCATACATTAATACTATATATTCCCAAAAATTATTTTTAAAAATGTAGATAACTTAAAATGAAAAATATAATCGTATTCCTAATTCTTTTGAATATAGCCATGTATGTCTCAGTCAATGGCCAATTCTGTAAAGTTTTCTTCCCTCAAGTTTGTCCACTAATTTGTAAAGCATGCACTGGGAAGGGTTGTCTTGTTAAGGATCCCTTATGCCCACCAGCTATTACTTTCTGTCTATTTTTTGGCTGTTTTTGTGAATAAAGGTTGGAAATTAAATTTTAATTTAACAAATATTATTTAGTGAAATGCACAACCGCTCAATGATGTAAAATTTGGTTAAAATGATAAAGAAAATAATTTTTTATATAAATTTCTTTACACGTTTTAAAAATATTTGTATATTTTTTATATAAATTATTAACTAGATTTTATAAAATCATTTTAAATAATAGTCAGTATTTAAATCAAGAAAGAATATACATATGTATGTATCAATGACATTATGAGCCATTCTTTCTTGCTTCAAGTTTTTTCAATTCTGAAATTTTGTCAAGATTTTGGAAGCTTTAGAAAGCATAATGATAAGCGGAATACACAAATTACAACTTAATTTTCTGAGTTACATTTAGTCATATCCTGAAAAGGTCAACTCTATTATTTTCATAAACCCCTATGATTAAAGTGAATTTTTTCTC